AAAAAAAGCAAATTATATAGCACAAGTAAATATAAAAGGTTGGCTATATTTTAGTTCAAAATATGCCTGAGAATTTTTTTTGTATTTTTATCCTACTATAGTATATAGTATATACTGTATGTTGTGTCTCAAACTAATGCTTGCCTCAGATGTCAATCGGCCTAAGTTAGAATAGGGTTAAAGTTAGAATAAGATTGGTGTTTAATTTAGGCCAATCAATGTCGATCAGTTAATGCTGGCCAAAAAAATCGACATCTGAGGGGTCGTCTAAAGCGGAGCGGAATCACGTGATATATGCCCAATCAAATCATAGAGTTTTAACGATCGCCGGCGAAGCAAAACAAGAATGAAAAGCGAAAAACTTGAAAATTCAAAAAACAACAGTCTAAACCTACCTTGGGTAAGTTAAGTAAAATGTCAGGAAGGCAATTTTGCATATACAACTATCTAAAACCAGCCCTAACCCTAAAAGTTTATTCAATAAAATATATATTATAAGAATCCACTCCGCTTTAGACTGACGCAAGCGATAATCTGAGGCACAACATATATACAGATATATATACTAAAATATACAGTATATAGACCAATAACAATAGATTAAAAATTTACCAAATAGCTGATACGTAAAAATACGTACGTAAGTATTATGTATATATCAGATATACAGTTAACTAGTATTTTTCTCACAGCATCCTATTTCGTTTTCATGAATACGCCAATCAAAAAAAATTAAGAGCCTGTGCAGTGTTTAGCTATAAACGCGAAGCCTTCGTTTTAATATTCTAATGGAAACGATTTTTTTGATCTTGTGGCGGTGCCATTCAAGGGCTGCGTAATTCGTCTATAATCAGGGACAGTATGGGCTTGGTGCTGGGAAAAGTGACGAATTTGTCAAAAAACAAATTTAATTCTCCCATCGAGACGAATCAAATGGTACCAAAATAATGTAATTTTAATCAATAGTTCACGAGATAGAGATAATTAATTTTTTGTACATATTTATTTTTTCCAGCACCAAGCCATTTTACTGCGTTCAATCAGAACTAGTGGGCTCGTTGTAAAGTTACCAGTATGTATGTACGACGTAGGTACCAGGTACAATACGTACATACGTACTATCAGCTATAACAGATCACGCAGGAGTATAATTTTGAATTTCGGCCCGAATTAAACTTAATGTGGGCGCGATTAAAATAACGCCATCCCTGTAACATAATCATGTGGTAAACTTTTCAGAAACGACCAAATATAAAGAGAGCTTGTTCTAGTAACCGATCTTAAATTATCTAATAAAATGTCTCAATATTCAAATTCTTCTGGCGACATAGATCCCTTTGAAGCCCGGTTACATTTTAATTCCATACTTAAAAAAATAACTTCCAGCCAGCAAACTATTCAAACATGTACAACCTTTGCCCTTAGACACCATAAGTATTACGAGGATCTATACCGATGTATTATGGAAGTTATGGAAAATGCCACAATTATGACTAGAATGAATCTCTTTTATTTTTTGGACAGTCTTTGTGTAAAATCCAAAAAGGTTGAATTTAATAAATATATTGAATATATTCAACGTGATTTAAAGAAGATCGTTGTTGATTACGTTTGTGAAAGAGACGATGGATGTTTTAATTTAGTTAATACTTTAAAAATTTTGAGTAATTGGAAAGAAAAAAGCTATTTTGATATTTCAGTTATTGAAAGTACGGAGCGCGTTCTATTAGATTGGAAGAAAGAACCGAATTATCCAGCAAAATTAAAATTATCAAAACATGATATTTTGAAAAGAATAGAAGAAGACCGAGAAAGGGCTAAACATCTTCGAGAAGATATTTGGTGGGTGGATAAAAGCATTCCGGATGGTGAAGCTCTTAGCTTATGGGAGGAATGTTCAGATCTAGATAAGAATGATTATTTGGAAATTTTAACAGAAAATTTCAAATACCAACCAGACTATCCGTGGCTAGATGTGTATAAAAAAGTAAAATTATGGAACGAAGAACAAAAGCAATTGGAGGAAGAGGAATTAAAAGCTCGTCTTGAAGAAGAAGAACGAGCACGACAAAAACTCGAGGAAGAAGAACGGGCACGACAAAAATTTGAGGAGGAAGAACGAGAGCGACAAAAACTTGAGGAGGAAGAACGGGCACGACAAAAATTCGAAGAGGAAGAACGGGCACGACAAAAGCTTGAGGAGGAAGAACGGGTACGACAAAAACTCGAGGAGGAAGAACGGGAACGACAAAAACTCGAGGAGGAAGAACGGGAACGACAAAGACTTGAGGAAGAATTAAAGGCTCAACAAAAGATTGAAGAAGAAAGGGAGCGACAATTACTTGAAGAGGAAGAACGAGAACTACAAAAACTTGAAGATGAAGAACGGGCAAGTCAAAAAATTGAGGAGGAAGAACAGGCACGACAAAAAATTGAGGAGGAAGAACGGGAACGACAAAGACTTGAAGAAGAATTAAAGGCTCAACAAAAGATTGAAGAAGAAAAGGTGCGAGAATTACTTGAAGAAGAAAAAACACAAGAACTTGAAGAATTTAAGGAGATGCAACAAAGAGTAGAGAGAGAAGAATTAAAAGAACAACAACAATTAGTTGAGGAAGATGATCATAGTTTTAGATCGATAGGAACGAAGAGACAGCACTGTCTTGATGACATTCTCAATGATGATGTTCATGAAATTAAGAGACTTTCTAAGAAAGCTCGTACACAAGATTATCACGATGATATAACTGAAATTCAAAGGTCAAGAATGCCATTTGATCCCGTGCGAGATGCCCAGAATGTCGATATGAACCAAGACACTACATATTCATATACGACACCTAATACAGTGCCGGATGATGAGAATAATTACAATCAGCAATCATTATATTCTAGACCGGTTGAAACATTAGAAGTCAATAACAATGGAGAAACTTTGGTAAATGAAGCAATACAGTCTGAAGAGTGTCACATTGAACAAATTGCAGGTTCCCATCTTAACCTTCTCATGCAAGCAGTGGGTCTTTTAGAAGCAGGGGTATCATCGTTACCTGAAGATTTGTAGCTATATAAAAATATTTGAGTTTCATGTGTATATAATACAAATTCTTTTCCTTGAACACATGTTTTTACGTGACTTGTATGTACTACTTAAAGTGATTTTTATTTCTTGAAAACTTTTCAAAGACTAGTATGCATGATCATTGTATTGATTACATATATATGATATATATGATGCCAGTCTTTATTATGTAACTATTCTTAAAAGATCATTCGACACCAAATTTTTTGAACAATATCATTAAAGTATCGCTTTTTTCCTGATAGCATTAGAGCTTTCACATAAAATTTTTTATTGTATAGAATATTTAATTTTTATAGTGCAAAAATCATAATATCGTTATATTTATGTACTATACATTAGGATGTTTTTTTTTTCTTTCTTTTTTTTTTCTTTTTTTTTTTTTTTTTGATACAAAATAAGGGCCTCGATTCGCTTTATTAAGTAAACAAATATAATAATGTATCACTAACAAATACAATAGTTACAAGTCAGTCAATAGCTTATCAAAAGTTATCAAAGGTTATAGACTGTGATTTAAACACTTGGCGATTAATGAGATAGTAGGAATAATAAGTAGTTTGTAAAATGTAGAGAGTGATATAGCTAATAAATTTAGAACAAAAAAGATCTAAATCTCATAAAAGTTCAATCAAAAATAAAATAATAAAATACACAATAAGATATATCCATATATATATATATATTCATCCCGTTATTTCCTGAATTTTTGCTCTAGATTTTTCAGCTAACCGGCTAGCTGATTTAGCTAATACAATCACCGGAAAAATGTAAATGGTATAAAGGAGTGATGTTATCACAGTAAAAAGGACTGTAACATCATCGTATGCTACGATAAAAGACAATTATAAATGAGTTATTAACTGAATTCTTTATGATAGAGTAAAAAAAAAATAATAAATAAAATAATAAATAAATAAATAGTTACCTCTATCAAATATGATACGAGGAAGCGAATTTAGAGGGAGTAATTTTGGGTCGTAGAATAAAGTCACATTGCCCTTATAATTTCCGAATGTTCCCGAAATATAGATACATAAATATTGTTCCGAATGACAATAAAGAAAACAGAATAACTTTTGCCAGAAAAAAACTTGAATCGAACTCGGATTCGGTATTCAAGGTTATCCGACTCACCTTTTGTTTTTCCTCACTATTCCCGTTCATCAAAGTTTTCGGTATGAAAAGCAAAAACAGTCAAATATATATATATGTATGTGTCAAACAAATTTGTGAATACTTACGAAGCTTCACCTATCTGGGATTTAAGTGACTTAATATCTGAATCTTGTTCAGAAATTTTGGTAGACATAACACGTAGCATTTCTTCAATCTTAATAATATGATCGAGCTGCTGCTGTTGTGAAGCAACGATCGATTCAAATGAAGAAAGACTGGCTATTTTATTGGATTGGTCTTCGACTTTGGCAGTGAGAGAAGCATTTAGCGATGCGAGTGATTTATTAGAAATTCTGAGATCAAGAAACTTTAAACAAGTATAAAAGAGGAACTTAATTCCCTAACAGTATAGAAAAATGAAAACTGAAAAAAGTAATAAATGACATACTTTGCGTTGAATTTTAGGATTAGAAGATAATGACATCAATTCCTTAAGTTCTTCTTCTTCATCATCTTCGTCCTGTTCTTCAACAGAATCTTCCTCAGCCTCATCAGCAGATTCATCATCGTTGTCACCGCCATCATCATAATTATATTTATCATCAGTTTCGTGGTCACCATACTCAACTATGCCCCTTTGTGCATAAGTTGCGTCACTACGGGAATTTGATTGAATGCTCGTTACATCTATAATCGAATCAGCGGCGACTCGAGGCCTACGCGATTTTGTAGTAGGTTGATGATTGGAATCAAAAGTACCATGTTCATCGATTGAATCGGGAACACGTGATAAAACATGGTCTGATGTTCTGCGTTGTAATAGATAAGCTGGTGGACCTGGGTCACTTCTATTAGATAACTCAGTTCGAGCCTCCACCTGGCGATATGTAACATCGGACCAAGTTTGATGAGAACCATGAGGAGATTTTGTTTTATATCTGGGATTCAATTGATGTTGAATATTATGCGAAAATGCATCGTTTTGATAATTAGAATCATTAGAATCATCAAATGGTTTGGTCTTCACTTTCATTGGTCGAGAAGTCCATTCATTTGTATTAAAAGATGAATTTTCGCGGTTATAATGATTTATATCATCGTTTGATTTCAAAATTGATTTTTTAGTATTTTGACCAGGGTCACTTCCCCATGAAACATCAGAACGAGCGTAATTACGAGTTGCATCAGCATTAGAGTTATAGGTAACTTTTCGGGTAGATTCATCATAATTAGTATTTTGTCTTCTATAGTGGGAGTCTTCAGATTCTTCATGTATCATTGCGGCGTTAACTTTAGGTCGTCGCGCGGTGTAATTACTACTACGAGATACTTCAGAACGACTATCATACTTATTCTCTAATTGATTCTGTTGTGTAGGACTAAAAAGTGTAGGGCTTATAAGAGTAGAATCGTCATCTTGACCTTGTTTTTGAGGTATTCGAATATTACTAAAGTCAGAAATAATGTTATTTGCAGGAACTTTCGCGCGTGCCTTGGAATCCATGTATTTACACGACACATCAAAATGTCAAAGTACAGACAACTAAATAAATAATTAAAAACCATATGGGCGGAATTGAGTATTGTGAATTTGTCTGTTAATTGGTTGATTTACACAATATAACACAATATTAATTCAAATATACTAGTCAAAAATAGTATTACTTTTCAAAGCCCCTCCTGACTTTTCTTTTTAATGGATAGGTTTCACATTTTGTACTACCGAATGGTACAAATACTTTGTTACGTAAAGCAGTAAAGAGCTACGTAAGCTTGAAGATCATCAATGTGCGAACATAATCTCACATAAAATCTGGTCTATTACACCCTTTTAGGCTTTTCAAAAAAAATTTCAAAAGCATATACTGTGAAATTATTTTTAAAAAAGAATATTATATCATATTTCTAACTTCCTGGTTACATCGCCAGGGAGTACTACGTACGTACTGTATATCTCAAACGTACTAAGTAATTAAAGTTAGAGGTTCTAAGTAAGAATGTTCAGAACCCCAAAAACGAAAATTTGGACCTTAATATCAAATTTTTATTAAATAAATTATATATTATATAAATCATCCCCGGTTAAAAATAGATAAAAAACTTTAAATTAGCCAATAGCAGTACGTGACTTGGTCTATTTGGGGATAAAATTTGCACGCATCATATACTTTTAAACAACATTAAAAAAAAATCTAAGTTGTAGTAAATTAGTTAAACTAAGTTTGTAAAAACTATTCCCAAACTACTTGAGATGTCCCAAACCATGTGATAATTAGTATCACATAGTTTTGGAAATAAGAATAAAAGCAGCCGAAACCAGTGTTGTCATGGGACAGCTTTGGACAATTTGTGGACAATTGTGGACAAAAAAACAAATCTAAATTACTTAAAATT